GAGGAGGAGGAGGCGGAGGAGGAGGAGGAGGAGGAGGAGGAGGAGGAGGAGGAGCAGAGGGAGGAGGCGGAGGAGGAGGAGGAGGAGGAGGAGACGGACGGGGATGTGCCTTTGGGAGCGGTGCGTCAGGATATACGCGAGACGCTCCTCGCGATTGTGTGCAAGTCCAAGCGGGGCGGCCGCTGAAGGGTGGACTCGAGCGAGAGGCCGAGACGCTGCTGAGCAAAATTGGCATCCACAAGGTCCCCAACGAGACGATTGAAGAAGACACCGGCGAGGAACTGGCAGAGGGGATGTAGTTACGTTGACTTAGACTGGGGCCTCAGAGATATTGGCTGCTATGGCTCGTTGTGGTTAACTCTTTCATGAAGCGCTGACGGCGCTTCAGGCCCGCTCTCCGTGCCTAATTCAGCAGTATCGTATCAGCTCAGGTCAGAGCTTTCAAGTACTACTAATCTCCTCCTCTTGAATTTACTCCCTCCTTGACTGAGCTCGCCTCCCGCTCCGCAGCAGTTCGAGGTATTCGCCTTCGTGATGCCAGTGCCAATGTTGTAGCAGCCAGCGATCGCGCCCAGTCTATCCTTGCCACAATGGCACACCCAGGCAATTCTGTGATTGAAGATGCGTCGACCGTCGCACCAGAGCCAGGAGAAGAGGCAAACATGTAGTGACCGCCCCAGTTGCCCAGAAAGGGCGCCAGACACCTTACGTTGCTCTGCTGATTTTGTCGGTTTCGTCGGAGATTGTCCGGCGCCGCTGCTGCTTAGAACGACAGCTACTTTGCTTGCGCGCGTGCGTGTAATTTATGCGGTGTTATCCGTCTCTCGTGTGCCCAGGGTGACTCGTGGGGGGCTGCCCGGCGCAAGTATCGCGCATATCCAACCATCTCGCCAGGTCGCGTTTTTTCTTCTATAGTAATGTGCGTGGAACGAAGCCAGACAAGGGTCGCGAGCGTGTCTTCTCGTATCTTCTCTTGTTCTTCTCATCCTTCGCCTCCCCGTTCTCTGCTCGACAATGGCACTATATTCGTGCTGCTCTCTTCCCTTTCCAGATCCTGTTCGAATGTCTCCTTTTTTAGGCAGAGATTTTGAATTATAATATTGTTGTTGCAATCGGACGGTTTTTTTGGCGTTTCAGATTTGCGCTCCATCTGCAGCCTTGGCCTCGTTGTAGAATCGGCGTTTTGCCTTTGTCGTTCAGAACGTGGCTGTCGCCCCGCTATTTTCGCTTCCTCCTACGTCTCCTGATCCTCCTGCTCTCCTTGCTCCTATTCCTGCTCCTGCTGCTGTTCCTCCTCGTCCTCCTCGGTCGTCATTCATATCTCTTGCTGCAAATCCGCCACGTCTTTCTCCTCCAAGTTTCGAAGCGCCCATGGTCCGACTGCGCACGACGCGGTGGGTTTTTTTCCAGTTCCATGTTGGCTACGGTAGGCGTCCGCGAATAATTACACATCAGCGCAATGGGAAGTGATGGGTTCGAGTGGTAGGATGCCAAGTTCGGTGCGAACGCCCCCAGCTTGTTTCTGTCCTCTGTTCTCTCTCTTCCCGTCATTTCTTATCATTTCTCCCCCTTCCTGCTCGTTTTCTACTCCTCTCCGTTTTTCCTCGTTCCCCCTCCGCCTCCCTCATCCCGTCTTTTTGTTCCATCTCTTCCCACGGCCTCGCGTTTTGGACCCTTTTTATCTGGTGCCTTCTTCTCGCAGCTGCTGCTGCTCCTCGTTATCCTTCTACGCCCTCCGCTTTTGTCCCCATTTTCTTCTTCAACATCTCTGTCCTCCTCTTCCTCCCCCATCTCCCCTTTTGCTTCGGATTTCAAGGCGTCAGTCCAGACGTGGCGACGAGTGGCGCGCCAGATGGCCAAGCAGTTATGAGTTCCCAGAATCCCCTCCTCCCGTCTTCCTTCTCCCTCCCCTTCGTCCTGCGCGCCTTCCTCTTCGTCCTCCTCGCCCGTCTTCTCCTTCTCCCTCCTTCCCTCCCCTTCCTTTCTCCCTCCTCCTCCCGCCTACCTCCTCCTCGCCCTCCTCGCCCTATTTCCCCTCTTCCCTGTTCCCTCCTCTTCCCTTTTTTTTCCTCCTCCCGCCTCCCTCGTCCTCGTCCTCCTCGCCCTCCTTCTTCCCCCCCCCCGCGACGACGACATCGACGACGGCGACGGCGACAGAGATGACGTCGGCGGCGGCCGCGGCGGCGACGGTGACGTCGGCGGCGACGGCGGCGACGACGATGATGAGGAGGGCCCCCGAAGTCCTGGCGCCTTCCTGAGGGGGTAGCCCCCCGTCCCGCACACGCTTCCTGGACACGTTTCCCGTGCACGCTTTTGAGGGCCCCCCCTGGGCGCCCTGAGCGGGCCCCCGGAGGCAGTTCGGGCCCCCTGATCGTCGACCTATCCTCGATCGGTCCTCGATCGATCGGTAGTCGATCCCCAACTCGGGACCCCGACCCTCGATCCTCGATCGGTCCTCGATCGGCTATCGATCCATCGCTCGACGGATCCTCGATCCATCGGTCGACCGATCGATCGATCCTCGCTCCGTCGATCGATCCTCGACCGATCTATCGACGACGGCGGCGGCGTCGGCGGCGACGGCGGCGAGGTGTCACCCATGCAGCTGCTGCTCGAGGGCGACGCGGAGGCCCGGCCGTGCGGCGCGCTTGTGCGGGCCGCGCGCGCGCTGCGCCGTGGGTCCGGGAAGCGGACAGGACATGGAACATCACACGTTGCGTTGTTGATGGTGATTTTTTGGCTTTTGTTGTTGTTGTTGTTGTTGTTTTTGTTGTTGTTGTTGTTGTTGTTGTTGTTGTTGTTGTTGTTGTTGTTGTTGTTGTTGTTGTTGTTGGTGTTGTGGTTCTTGCCATCGTTGTTGTTGTTGGTGTTGTTGTTGGCGTTGCTGCTGCTGCTGCTGTTGATGCTGTTGGTTTCGCTGTTGTTATCGTTTTTTTCGTTGTTGTTGCTATTGCTGCTGTTGTAGTTGTTGCTGTTCTGGTTGATCGTTGTCGTTGTGGTCGTTGTCGTTGTTGCTGCTGTTGTTGTTCTAAATGATAGTTTTGGTTGTTATCCCCTCCGGTGACCATTGTTTTTTCTCCCAGTTGAATGTTGCTCCCAGGGTTCGCATCTTGCTTTACCAACCATCCAGTGGTGATGGGTCTTCGTTTTGAAAAGACAGCGCCCCTCTTTGCTCTCCTCTCCTCTTTTCCTGCTTCTCCCCTTCCTTCCCCTTCCATCATCAGCATCATCATCATCATCACCATCATCCTCATCAGCATCAACATCAACATCATCAGCATCATCGTCATCATCATCGTCATCATCATTATCATCATCATGACCATGAACATCATCATCATCCGTCTTCATCATCATCATTATCACCCGTTTCAGCACACCTCTCACACGTCTCGATGCCCCATACGGAGCTCCACCGAAGGCCCCAGTGGCATTGCCCGCATGCGTCACCCTCACCCAGTACAGCGTTTCGTGGCCCCATAGGGAGCTCCACCGAAGGCCCCAGTGGCACCGCCCGCATGCGTCACCCCCGCCCAGTACAGCGTTTCTTGGCCCCATAGGGAGCTCCACCGAAATCCCTAGTGGCCCCTTCCTTCCATTCGTCCTGTTCTCTCCTTTGTCCTGCCGTGGTGCTGCACGTAATACGCGCTGCAGGTAAGAAAGATACATATCCCCAAGGGGGTACGATCGAAGACGAAGATGGCGTGTATCGAGGGTTCGGGATACCCGTGTTGAATGGCCCGCGAGCAGATCAGATCGAGCGGTCTTCAAATTGTTGTTGTTGTTGCTGCTGCTGCTGCTGTTGTTGTTGTTGTTGTTGTTGTTGTTGTCGTTGTCGTTGTCGTTGTCGTTGTTGTTGTTGTTGTTGTTGTTGTTGTGGTTGTTGTGGTTGTTGTGGTTGTTGTGGTTGTTGTTGTTGTTGTTGTTGTTGTTGTTGTTGTTGTTGACGAAAACACTCACTGGCGCCCGGCCGACCCCCCCCCAGCAACAGCACCAGAGCAACACAGGAGAACCTCGAGAGCGTTTTGGGCTTCCTGGAGGGCCCCTACCGCCTCCTGGAGCGCCTCTAGGGCCTCCTGGGGAGCCTGTGGGACCTCCTGGCGAGTGTCTCGGGCTTCATGGAGAGCGTCTTGGGCCTCCTTGAGCGCGTCTTGGGCCTCCTGGAGCGCCTCTGTGGCCTCCTGGAGCGCGTCTTGGGCCTCCTGGAGCGACTCTGGGGCCTCCTGGAGAGCGTTTTGGGCTTCCTGGAACGCCTCTGGGGTTTCCTGGGGAACGTATTGGGCCTCCTGGAGAGCCTCTGGGGCCTCCTGGGGAGCCTCTGCGGCCTCCTGGAGCACGTCTTGACCTGTGATGTATGCAGGCACGTTTGCGCACACGGGCGTTGTGTTGTACGTGAGCGCCTCCCTCTCCCCCTCCCTCGTCGCTATCGCCGTCGCCGCCGTCGCCGCTGCCGCCGCTGTCGCCGCCACCTTCGCTGCGCCAGCGCGTGGGTAAGAGGACGCGGATGCGGACGGGGAGGAGGGTAGGGAGGAGGAGGAGGAGGAGGAGGGGGAGGAGCAGGGGCAGGAGCATGAGGGGGATCAGAAGCATTATACTGATGATGATGCTGGTGATGGTGATGGTGATGGTGATGAGGATGAGGATGAGGATGATGATGATGATGATGATGATGATGATGATGATGATGATGCTGATGATGATGATGATGATGATGATGATGATGATGATGATGATGATGATGATGATGATGATGATGATGATGATGATGATGATGATGATGATGATGATGATGATGATGATGATGATGATGATGATGATGATGATGATTGATGATGATGCTGATGATGATGATGATGATGATGATGATGATGATGATGATGATGATGATGATGATAACGACGGTAGTGCTGGTGATGGTGATGCTGAGGACGTCGATGGGGATTGGTACGTTGACGAGTAGGGGCAGGAAGAGGAGAAGAAGGAGGGCGAGGACGAGAACGAGGAGGGCGGACAGGAGGACGGATGGAGAGAGGGAGGGAGGAGGTGGAGGAGGAGGAGGAAGAGGAGGAGGAGGAGGAGGAGGAGGATGACGACGACGGTGACGCCGATAACAATGACGACGATAGGACGATACGATAAAGGAAGCGGAGGAGGAGGAGGAGGAGGAGGAGGAGGAGGAGTATGATGATGATGCTGAGGATGAGGAGGAGGAGGAGGACGCCCTCCCAGACATTCGATGTCATGATTTTTGTCAATACGAGGTCCCTGGAGGTTTCGACAACTTCCTAGGGCGTGACATTTCATCCTGAATTGGCTTTTGACGGTCCTGGAGCCCGGAAAAGGCCTCTAGAGGCCGAGAGTTGCGTTGCCTCCCTCACCCCCTACCTCGTCGCCGTCGTCGCCGTCGCCGTCGCGTCTGCCGCCGCTGTCGCCGCCACCGTCGGCGCGCCCGCGCGCGCGCGCCCGCGAGTAGGGAAGAGGACGGGGATGCGGAGGGACGGAGGAGGAGGAGGGGGAGGAGCAGGAGCAGGAGCAGGAGGATGAGAAGCATGATGATGATGGTGATGATGATGATGACGATAACGATTGCGATGGTGATGATTGGACTTGGATGGGGATGGGTACGTTGACGAGTGGGAGGATGGAGGGAGGAGTGGGAGGATGATGACGAGGAGGGGCAGGAGGAAAGGGAGGGTGGGGCCCTCAGCGGCTTTCGGGGATGTGGTCCCCACCAAGTGCGCGAAGATAATCGCGCTTCGTGCGTCGCGTCCTGGGCCAGAGAGCTACTATCCTCCAAGGTGGCCTCGCGGGGGCGCGAAGATAACCTTGCGTCGCACTGCCTCCCTCTCCCCCTCCGTCGTCATCGTCGCCGTCGCCGCTGCCGCCGTTGCCGCCGCTGTCGCCGCCGCCGTCGAAGGGCCCGCCCATGCTGCTGCCAGGCAAGGGGTCAGTGATGACGATGATGATGACGATGATGAGGAAGATGCTGATGATGATGATGCGAGTGGTGATGATGACGATGACGATGACGACGATGATGACGATGATGATGATGGTGGTGATGATGATGATGACCGTTGGGATATCGTGGGATGTCTGTCGGCGGCGTGTTTGAGGCAGTCCGGAGGTCTCTTGGTAGCCGTCTAGGAGCCTCTTTAGGGGTCTCCTGGGGGCCTCTTGGGGCTTCTTGCAGGCCTCGTGGTGCCTCCTGGGGGCCTCTTCGGGCGGAAGGCTCGGATTGTCGATTCGCGCCCCCCCTCTTCGCTGGTCGCCTGGTCTTCCGGGTGTGTTGCTCTGTTGCCGTGTTGCTGGGGGGGGGGGTCGGCAACAGTGCACCAGTGAGGATTTTCGCCACCAGAGCCGACACCGGGAGCTGGCACACTGGCTCCCAGTGCGCCAGTGTGTGTTTATGCCTTGTTGTTGTTGTTGTTGTTGTTGTTGTTGTTGTTGTTATTGTTGTGGTTGTTGTTGTTGTTGTTGTTGTTGTTGTTGTTGTTGTTGTTGTTGTTGTTGTTGTTGTTGTTGTTGTTTGTGTTGTTGTTGTTGTTGTTGTTGTTGTTGTTGTTGTTGAAGATTATTACTTCTAAAGAATAATTATTGTTGGGACCCCTGGTGCACGACCCCCCCGCCGCGCCTAGGCCGCAGCCTCATTTTCATCATTTTCGTGAGGAAGTCTCAGGCAAAACGGGTTGGTCCGGATCCGGTTGTGTTGTTACGATCGGTTTTCCCTTGCAAAAAAAAAGCTAAAGTGGACATTTCTTGTTCTAACATAACCAAACTTCAAGAATCCCTTGCAACAAATAAGGTAAAGTGGACATTCGCGCGCGCAAGACGAAATCCTTCCAAAACCTTAGTTTTCGTAGCGATTTTAACATAAAAACATAAAAAACCAATGGTTTTTTCAAAAAACAATTGTCAAACTTTCATCCCGCGCGCTCTTGCGGATTCGTAGGAAACCCAACACTTTTTTTTAATCATTTCAGTCAAACGGGCTTTTGCGAGCAACTTTTTCGAACTTCTGCAACAACGGTTGCGCACCTGCCAGGGCCATCATCCCTGTCAAATAATACCATGCGGGACACATTCGTTTTTTCTTCGCGCGCGCACGCCGTCGTCGTCGGCCGCGGGGCCCTGAATAGTAGCCACGGTCGTCCGCATGCCACGAAGTGAAGTGTCCGAACGTCATAGGGCGGGAAGCTGGGTGTGGGTGGTGGCGAAGAGTCGTTTGGAAATTTGGTAGAGCTTGAACCGGCCCCCCCACAAAGTGGGGGTATTGCCCGCCTCCTATGAAAACCCTGGCACTGGTGAGAACGGAGTGTCCCCACGTGCTAGTAATTGTTGTTGTTGTTGTTGTTGAACATTATTAATTCTAAAGAATAATTATTGTTGGGCCCCCTGGTGCGCGCCCCCCCCGCCGCGCCTAGGCCGCAGCCACGTTTTCATCATTTTCGTGAGGAAGCCTCAGGTAATTCGAGTTGATCAAGATCCGGTTGTTTTGTTGTAATCCGCTTTCCCTTGCAAGAAACACTATAAAATGAAATTTCTTGTTCAAATATAATCAAATTTCAAGAATCCCTTGCAAAAAATAAGGTAAAGTGGACATTCGCGCGCGCAAGACGAAATCTTTCC